ATCAGGGCTGGAGGCAGAGTCTGGCTACACGGGCCTTTGTTCGGGGGAGGGGACAGACCCCGTCCCAGAAAGCTCCCAGTCGAACTAGGCGACACCCCCCCAGGTCACCCGGGCAGTCTGTGTCAGACAGGAACAGAAGCCAGGTCTCCGGGATCCCAGCCTGGCACCCCAACCATATGGCCAGCTTGGGGGGGGGAGGGAGGGCTGGTAACTCAGTTGGGACCCCACAGATCCCCCCTCTGCCCCCAAAGCAATCAAACATCACTTACACAACAGCAGCAGCACCCCGAAGAGCGAGATGCAGGAGTAGAGGTAGGGGAGGTAGTATTCCCACAGGTCTGTGGAGAGGGGAGGGTTAACGTTACACACCCAGGCTGGGGTAAGCCGGGGGCCTGGGAGACCCTCGGTGCAGGGGGTGGGATTCCTTGGCACTCAGCAGGAGATGGGCACTCCCAGTGGAGCAGAGTGGGGGGGGTGGGGAGGACATTAACTAGCACCTCTGATAGGGCGTGTCATCCTTTGACCCAAGGGCATCACAGCAAGGGGGGGGTACCAATCACCCCACTATGCAGATAGGGAAACTGAGGCATGGGGCAGGGCAGAGTTTTGCCCCTCTCATAAAAAGCCACTGGCAGAGATGAAAAATTCAACCCAGGAGTCCGGGCCCAGCCCCTGGAACATACTCCCTGTTCCCAGAGCTGGGAAAAGAACCCAGGAGTCCTCGGTCTGAGAGCACGCAACACCCCCTCCCACCATCACTGCCCCGGTCACTCGCCATAGAGGGATTCCCGGCTGCCCGCGTCCTCGTCCACAATGGCCGACGCCACCCAGACCATCCCCAGCACCAGCAGGGTCAGCAGCAGCAGCACCACGAAGGTCTCGTAGACTCGGGCCAGGATGCCCTGCGAGGGGAGGGGGAGAGTTTAACCCGGCGCGGGCGGCACAGGGGGAGGGAGGGGAGGAGACGGACCGGGCAGCTGGTACCTTCTTGGATCCCGCGAAGCCCTCGGCCTCGGTGAAGAAATACGCGAAGGGCATGAGGAAGACCAGGGAGAGGTTGGAGAAGAGGAAGACCAGATTCCAGAGGCCTGGAGAGAGACGGGCAGGTTAGCGCAGCCCCCCAGGACCAGCCCCAGGCTAGCGTGGGCTCCGGGGCAGAGCCGCCCGGGCAGCGGGGCAGGTGCTCACCGTGGATCAGGGAGCCGTTCAGCCACTGGATGTAGTAGTTGTGCGGGAAGAGCAGCAGCACCTCGTTGGTGAGGATGGAGAAGGGCAGTAGCAGGACGGCGCCCAGCGAGACGGCCAGCGTGAAGGTGCACATCGACAGCCTGGGGGGGTGGACGTGCATGAGCCTTGCCCTGCCCCACGCGGCTCCTCCGCCCCTACCCCAGCCAGCCCCCCGAATGGCCCCCAGGGCGCAGGCCAGAGCCAGCGAGGGGACCGGGCTGCGGGAGAGGTGGCAGCCCCTGCCATGGCTGGAAC